AGAGTGAGAGCACATGCTCATGCATGAACTGGGGGGGGGGCGCAGAGGGGGAGGGAGAGAAAATGAATCTCAAGCTGAATGCTGAGCACAGAGCCCGACATGGGGGTCGTGATCTGAGCTGAAACCAAGAGTCCCACACTTAACTGACTGAACCACCCAGGCACCCCTACATGCAAGTTTGTAATGAATGAATAAATTCTGTTATATCTGGTCTCTCATTTGCCACATCAAATTGTACTTTTCCCCAATTCATGTTTCAAATTAATGTATTCTAGTCTAACTATGCATGCATCTATTATTTGGACTGTCATTTATAGATTCATTACTCATTTGTTTGTCTTACAAAATAAATGCAAAGGTAAGAGAAACTATTGTTCCAGAGATCATTGCCTGTGCAATTATGCTTGTAAATTCTCCAACTGAGAGTCTGCTAAATATGGCCGGATGATGATGGTGAAATCCCAACTCTTCCTTTGCCTATTTGGATTTTATATCCTTGCAGGAGACAGTTTTCTTTTGAAACAATTACAATGAAAGAGGAAAACTGGGCTCTCAGAGAGAATGGAACAGGTACTGACTGGACCAGGAGTCCAGGAAGTCAACAGGATCAGCCTTGAAGAGCAAATAATTGTAGCCTAGCCACGAAACTCTGTCTTTGGTGTTTTCTGGAGGCATTTTTCTTGGGATCAAGGCAGGTAGACTAGAAGAAATGTGAGTGAGTAGAGGCAGGGGTTTCTACCTTTGCTGTGAATTAATAGACCTTTTCTCCCCCTAAGTCCCCGGGTCTAGCACCTCTCAATTTGAAACACCACTCAATAAAACAGTGCATCAGGTTTTCCCCCCTAAAATTGACTAGCAGCTTCAAAAGCCTATTGTTCTACTAATGCTTCTTGCTGATTATTCATTTATACGTATTTCTTTAAAATCCAAATTGTCATTTGTTCCAGAGAGAAAAAGTCCTGGGAGTCATCAGAGCAAAACTGAAACAGGTTTCACTCAATGCTCTCCACTTTTCTACTTACCCTTAAATTGATGTAGAGAGATATTGTGTTATCTAGCTCAAAATAAATACACTTTGTAGTACAACCACATCCCCTGCAATACTCAGAATTGATTTTCCCTTTACCCTAGGTTGTTTGCCTGACTCCCTCCTCTCTTGGGATAAGTTATTTCTCAAGAGGTCAGGAGTTCCTTCTGCAATTGACTCCTGGTGTTTGCCCTACCAGTTTACAAGATGTGCTCACACTTGTCTAAACCCCAGGCAATGACACACCTCAAGCTTAAACTAAGACCTCTTCATCTCACTACACAGATTACTGACAACACAGATTGGCTCCATGCAATGTTTTACACAAGAATGGCCATAAATCAAGGCCCAGAAGTTTACACAATTCTCTACGATTAACCTCTATTTGAAGGTGACAATTATCAAAACAAAAAAAGCAAAAGTAACGATGCAAAGATATAGAATAAGCATATTCTATGCAGGTTCTTCCACAAAGCTAGAGATAACATTAGAATGGAGAGAGAAACTATACCTTTGGAAAGGGATTAGGACCGCTAAATTGTCTTTTCCATACTTAGGCAGCACAAACCTTCCCTCACTAATCTTTCACACCATTCAGGCACAATGCTTCACAAAGAAGTTTTAGCCTCATTTTTTAAACGTGTTTTGGGGGCTCACATCCAGCTAGTGTATTTTCCCTCATGGAGAGGGCCAGAAAAAGATAAACGTTTTGATAAATACAGAGGCTTCTTAAAGGAGTCAGGGTTGAGCTCAGTCAGTAGAGAAAGGAGCTTTAGGCTGGAGAACAGCATCCCAACCCCTTTATGAAGATGCTTACTATTACGGAATTAAACAAGGAAGCAACCTGTTTTGAATCCAGTTTTGTCACTGACTCACTGTATGAATTTAGGCCCAAACCCTTCCTATTTCTGTCTTCAGTTTTCCCACCTTTTCATTTAGTTAGATTAAGTAGACCTTGATCTCTAGCAGCACGGGGCTCACTGGAGCAAAAAGAATTAGGTTCTGTCCACTCTTACTAGCCCTTCTAGCTGTTAACATTTACTAGCTGTTGCAGCTTTTGGAAAATCGGTTCACTTCTTCTGGGCCTTAGTTTCCTCATCTATAAAATTGGGAAAATCAGTCCCCAGCTTACCTTATAGTATTATAATAATTTGGCAAAATAACAGAACAACAGGTTTGTCATTATAAAATGCCGTACACCTGTGAGGTAACTGAAAGTCGAGGAGAACGAGAGATAACTAGAATGTAGAAAGAAGAAAGGAGTGGAGGCAAAGGTAAAAGAAATCTGGGGTGGAAAAAGAAAAAAAGGGAGGAAGTACGAGGCAACTTCGATGAAGATAAAGGCTGTAAGAGGGAGCGCAATCGCTCTGGAAAACTGGGGGAGGGGCCGCAGGGAAGCTGGGTCACGTTGCCGGCGGAGCCATTTCAGCATTGCACGGCGGTTGGGCGCGGACCTATTTGGCTGTGACGCCCACTCCAGGCTTTTATCGCCCTATCCCCTAGAGCTCATCTGAGACCTAAGATGGCGGCGTTCGTACTGAGGGAAAGGACTGCCGGCGTACCAGGTGTGGAAAGCAGCCAAGGAACAAATCTGAGGGAAGTACAGAAGCTCGCCAAGTTTTGTTTTGTGGTGAGTGCTGAGCTTCACATCAGCTAGAAAAGTGTCCGTTAGTAAGGCTACCCACTTCGGGATCGCGTGGCCGGCCTGAGTTGGGGGAGGAGCGGGCCTGTTCATTTTTCTCTCTCGCCTCTCTATAAAATATCGGAGAGTAACTTCTCTTTCTTTAGTCACCTTGCCACCACTGATGAAGCTAGACGGTTGCGGATATTAGCTCGTAGGAGTGATTCTGAGCCGTTTTCCTCTCATTTTTTCTCGTTTAAATGGGTTTTTATTGACACCATGCGGGCCCAAAATGAAAGATCTCGTGTCCCCAGGGCGCTTTCAGGAACAGCCTAACCTGTTGGACCTACTTTCTCTTATTTTCTCCGTGCTGTTTCGCGTGCAAACGTTGTAGTTTTGATAAACTAATCAGTTTGTAGCATACTCATGGGCTAGATTAAAAAAAAGTTTTTTAATGCCCTTTATGTTTCAGATGAGGACCTCTGGGCATTGCAATATTAACATTTGTTCTGGAAGCACATTGTTCTGTTCAGAGGTAGGTATGTGCGTCTGTGTACAGGTAATCTTTGGGGGAATTGTTACATTATTTTGTGGATTATTACCTTGATTTCTCACTGAGTAGGAAAAGAACTAGATTTCCGTGTTCAAATCTCTTGGTGAAAATAAATTTATATTAAACATAACATGTTTGGGGAAGACAGTAAAAAATTTGCAGGTTTGTTTTTATGACGAGTAACTGGAAACAACCTGTATATCCCCATCTGTAGAATGTTTGAATAAATTGTGGGACATTCGTGTTATGAAATACTTTGCAGCTGTAGAAACAGATTTACCTCTTTACACACTTTTGATCTAGAGAATGTTAGATTGTTATGTGAGAAAAGTAAGTTGCAGATACCTAGTATGATCCTGTGTCTTTGATGGGAGGGGTGATGAGGGAATGTAAGATTAACTTTTTTTTTCTTTGTCTTTTTTGAGGGGATTTCCACATCTGTTATGAAATAAGTACTTAAGATATACAAACATATAAAGAATAACACAATGAAAGATGAAAAAAAAAATACAGTGAACCTCTGATTTATCATCCAAACGTAAAAGTAATACATTACTATGATAGTTGAAGTTCTCCGTGTACCCATTCCTGGATTCATCTCTTTTCTTCCTTCATCCCCAGAGGTAACCATTATTTTAAACAGTGATTATATTTCCCAGGCATTTCTTAAACTTTTGTGACATGTGAACTACTTCTAAGATGGGTTATTTTTTTAAATAAATTTTGAAGAGAAATTTTTAAAAGAAAAGAACAAAAAAGATGAATTTTTAAGTGCCTGTTACCTGGATTGCAGAAACAGGGGCCGTTTGAAGTTGAAGGCAGAATCTAATTAAAAGAAAAAAACAGGAAATAAGTGTTGGTAAGGAAGTAGAGAAATCGGAACCTTGTACATTGCTTTTGGGATATAAAATGGTGCGGCTGCTGTGGGAAATAGTTTGGCGATTTCGCTGTAGGTTAAACGTAGAATTACCATGCTTCCTTGCCAATGCTTGTACTTCCTGTTTTTTATTTTTTGTTTTTTTTTTAAGAAAATTAACCATTTTAGTATGTTTGAAGTGGTATGTCATGGATTTGATTTGCGTTTTCCTAAAGACTGAATTGGGGCATGTTTCCATGTACTTGTTAGCCATTTGTATATTTTCTTTGTAGAAATGTCTATTCAGGTCCGTTGTCCATTTTTTAATTTGGGTATTTTTGTTGAGTTGTAAGAAATCTTTATATATTCTGAACTGTTACATATATGGTTTGGAAGTTTTTTTCCCATTCTGTAGGTATTTTTCACTCTTTATTTATAATGTCCTTTGGTTTGGTGTACAATTTTTTTTTTAATTTGAAGTCCAATTTGTCTATTTTTTTCTTTTGTTGCATGTGCTTTTGGTGTCAAATCTAAGAATTTTTTTTCAAATCCAAAGTCATGATTTATCTCTGTGTATTCTAAATGTTTTATGGTTTTAGCTCTTGTATTTATGTCATTGATCCATTTTTGAGTTAATTTTTGTATATGGTGTGAGGTTCAACTGCATTCTTTTACATGCACATAGCCAGTTGTCCCAGCACCATATGTTGAAGAGACTGTTCATTCCCTGTTGAATGGTCTTGGCATCCTTGTTGAAATCAATTAGCCACAGATGTATAGGTTTATTTCACGTCTTTCAAATTTATTCTGTTTGTCTCAGTATCTGTCCTTATGCTAGTACCACACTACTTTGATTACTGTAGATTGTAGTAAGTTTTAAAATCGCAAAATGTCGCTCCTCCAGTTTTGTTCTTTTTCAAGGTTGTTTTGGCTTTCCGGGCCGCTTGCAATTCCATATGAATTTTAGGATCAGCTTGTCCATTTCTTTTTAAGTCATACGAAAAGAAATAAGAGGAGTTGCAAACCAAAAACACAGTAGTACTGGCTTTTATATTTATCTATGTAGTTATCTTTACCCATGTTCTTTATTTTTTCATACACTTTTGAGTTACTTTCTATTTTCCTTTCATTTTAGCCTGAAGAAGTCCCTTTGGCAGTTCTTGTAGGGTAGGTCTATTAGCAACAAATTCCCTCATATTTTCTTTATCTGCAAATGCCTTAATTTCTCCTTTCAGTTCTTTTGACAGATATATTTAAATATAATTCACACACCGTACAGTTACCTGTTTTAACTGGGTTAAAACTAGGTTACCTGTTTAACTGGGTTAAACCCTAAACTGGTTAGGGTTCAGTGGTTTTTAATCTATGTACAGCCATCACTACATTCATTTTAGAATATTTTCATCACCCCAAGAAGTCCATGCACTTTATTAGCCATAACCCCATATCTCCTTGAACCCTATCTGCCCAGCCCTAGGCAACCACTAATCTACTTTTTCTCTCTATAGATTTTCCAGTTTTGAACATTCTGTATGAATGGAACCATATAATATGTGGTCTGTTGTGATTGGCTTCTTTTACTTAGCATAATGCTTCAACGCTCATCCATGTTGTAGCATGTATCAGTACTTCATTCTATTTGTGGCGGAATAATGTTCCGTATTATGGATATACCACATTTTGTTTATGCATTCATTCATTGATGGACATTTAGGTTGTTTCCACCTTTAGGCTATTAAGAATAATTCTGCTAAAACATTCATGTACAAATTTCTTTGTAGACATAATGTTTTCATTTCTCTAGGTGTATACTTAAGAGTGTTTTTGCTGGGTCTTATGTAGCTATGTTTAATTGTTGGAGAAACAGCCCAACTCTTTTCCAAAATGGCTGCAACCATTTTACGTTCACAGCAACAGTGTATGAGGGCTCTAACTTGTCTACGTCTACATTCTCACCAACACTTGTCATTATCTGACTTCATCCAATTCTAGTCATCCTAATGGATGTGAAGTCGTATCTCATTGTAGTCGTCTTTCCCACAAGGTTAGTCCTCAGATGGTGGTCCTCAGGGAGGGGCAATTTGAATATGCCCACAATCACCCTGGGATGACTGGTTTTGTTAGGGCTGTCTTTCCCTTACCACACCCAGCAGCCAAGATCCACTTGCTGGGAACTAATTGTTTAATTGTTTTCCATAATGCCCCGGGGCATAAACTACTTTGAAAGTTAATCCAATCAAAATGTGGGTCCTTTGAAGAAATAGTTTTTGAGATTAGTGTTTGATATTTGTTCTGACCCTGGGTGGGCTCTTCCCAGTTGTTTTAGTCCTCAGTTCTCTCCTGCAAACTAGATTATCTACAGTTTAGCCTCTGTATCTTGAATCTGCTAATTGGCTTTTGCTTGTTTTTTTAGGAGTCCTTTAGGCTTGACCTTCTCCATGCTCTTGCAAATGAAGTCAGTCCCTGTGGGAAGAAATTAAGAGCCATCTGTTTTAATGTCTGCTGCTTCCCTCAAACAAAAGCTCTGAGCCGGGTCTCTGGAGGTGGGGTAGGAACAATGGCAAGTTTCTCTCTGAGTGACAGTACTTTGTGGAGGGGAGGGTGTAGCCAGAGGTCATCTGGGTTTGCTTTTCCTCATAACCCAGGGCAGGGATGATCAGGGTCCTGGTCTTTTCCATGCCCACACCCAATAAAGTATACATTCCACCAGTGGGGGCTGGAAGGGCTAGAACACCTGCCTCTCAGCCACACTTGCTCAGGACTCAACCCTATTAATAGGCAGCTCGGGGCTGGATGAGAAACTCTCTTTCTCCTGGGAAGAAAGCCCTCTGAATGGGACCTGGGGGGGAGGGGTGGAAAGGGAGCCCTGTGTTGGTTGCAGGAATCTGGAGTGGAGATTCCCCTTCCCTGAGCTGAGATGAGGGAGGGAGGCAGTGGTTTTGGTTCAGATACAGACTCATCTTTCTTAGTGAATTTTTGAAGTTGTTCTTGAATATATGTTTCTTCATTTTGCCGTTTGTCCTTAGATCAGTTTCCAGAGGCTTTAAATAAATAGTTTTCATCAGTTTCAGTGGGGAGCAGCAGGTCACTCAAGCTCCTCATACTGTCATGCCATAAGCTGATCTCTTTATTTTTGAAAGACATTTTTTATCAGATACAGATTTGTTGGTTGACAGCTTTTTTCTTTTCAGCAGTTTAAATATGTCATTGCACTGCCTTCTGGCCTCCATGATGTCTGATGATGGGTTGCTTCTCCTTTCTTGCTTGTAGGATTCTTTTTGGGGATTTCAACAGTTTGATTATACTACATCTCACTGTGGATGTCTTTGAGTTTATTCTCTTTGGGGTTCATTGAATTTTTTAAGTTACGTAGATTGGCCGCTGTTCAGATATTCTTTATGACTCTCTTATTTTGTTCTGGATCTCTCATTTTGCATATGTTGGTACACTTGATGTTGTCTCTTAGGCTCTTTTCATTTTTCTTCAGTTTTCTCTTTTCCCATTCCTCAGACTAGATAATCTTTTTTTTTTTTTTAAGTTTTTATTTATTTATTTATTTATTTGAGAGAGAGAGAGAGAGAAACAGCATGAGAGGGATAGGGTCAGAGGGAGAAGCAGGCTCTCCGAGAGCTGGGAGCCCGATGCGGGACTCGATCCCAGGACTCCGGGATCATGACCTGAGCCGAAGGCAGTCGCTTAACCAACTGAGCCACCCAGGCGCCCCTCAGACTAGATAATCTTAATTTACCTATCTTCATGGTCATTTATTCTTTCTTCAGCCTATTGAAATTTTATGTTGAACCTCTCTAAAATTCAGGAATTTTTCATTTCAGTTATTGTGCTTTTCAGTTTCAGAATTTGTATTTGGTCCCTTTTTGTAATTTCTGTCTCTTTATTGTTATTTTCTGTTTATTGATATGCTGTTCTGGTTTCCTTTAGTTTTTATCCCTGGTTTCTGTTAGCTCTTTGGCATATTTATGATAGTTGATTTTTTTTAGAAAGTCTAATCTCTGGGCTTCGTTGGGGACACTTTCTGTTAACTTTTCATTCTGTGAATGGGCCATACTTGTTTGTTTACATGCCTAATAAATTTTTTTTTATTTTTTATTTTTTATTATTATTTTTTTTTATTTATTTGAGACAGACAGAATGAGAGACAGAGAGCATGAGCGGGAGGAGGGTCAGAGGGAGAAGCAGACTCCCCGCCGAGCAGGGAGCCCGATGCGAGACTCGATCCCGGGACTCCAGGATCATGACCTGAGCCGAAGGCAGTCGCTTAACCAACTGAGCCACGCAGGCGCCCCATGCCTAATAAATTTTTAATGAAAATTTGTCTTGATAAGTAGGCACTTTGAATTTTATAGTATGGTGGCTCAGGAAATCAGAATATTTCCCCCCTCCCCAGGGTTTGTGTTGTTGCTTCTTGTGGGGTGCAGTCATCCACTTGTTTAATGACAGTCCACTTGTTTAAAGTCTAAACTATTTTTGCACACTGTATTCCTTGTCATATGTGGTCACTAAAGTCTCCATTCCATTATCTTTGTTGTTAGGCAGTGTCCTGATAAGATTTCTTTAAATGACAAAATTTACAGCCCCTTTCTTCTTGAAGCACTGTCCTGATTGTAGTAAGTTTCTGATTAGGTTTAGAATTCTGAAAAAGTTGATCTTACGTTTTTTTGCCACCTTAATAATTTCAGTGGAGGGATGGATCCTAGGAGCTCCCTACTCCACCATTTTTGGTGTCCTCTCATCTCATACATTTTGATACTGTGATTTTAATTATAATTCAGTTCACAGTACTTTCTATTAATTTTGCTTGTGAAAAAAAATTTGCTTGTGATTTCTTTGACTCATGGGTAATTTAGAAATGTATTGTTTAATTTCCAGATATTTGTGGAATTCCAAGTTTTTCTTTTGGTTTTGGTTTTTCAAAATTTTATTGTGTTGGAGAACATAATCTGTATGATTTGAGTCCTAAAGTTATTCAGAGTATGGTTTGTGGGTCAAATCTGGCCTGTTGTCTGATTTTGTATGACTAGCAAACTATGAGTAGTTTTACATTTTTAAGTGGTTTAAAAATTCACGAGCAGAATTGTATTTCTTAACTCATGAAAATCATGTGAAGTTCAAATTTCAGTGTTCATGAATAGTTTTACTGGTATACAGTTATACTTAACCTGCATGCCCATTGTCTATGGATTCTTACATTCTGCAACAGCAGAATTGAGTAATTAAGACAGTAACCATGTGGCCTGCAAAGACTAAAATATTTACTAACCAACTCTTCTTCAGGTTTTGCTTACCCTTAAACAGCCCTGTACCTGTAACTTTACATTATGCTACCATCACTCCCTCATCAGCAATAATTGAGAAAAGATTTTATGCTATAGCATTCCTCTTAAACATGGAATAAAAATATTCTTTTTACATCTTACCATTTTACCAAGTTGAAAGGCAGAAAAAAGTGCACTGAACAAAAATACTGGTGACTGATGTATGAGGAAAACTACAACTATCTTATGCAAATAATTTTTTTTGTATTAGACCTTTCTGCACATCTCTTTCTTCCATTCTAATTTTTTTCCAAACTTAATTTACCAAAAATAATAAATATTACACCATTTTTTATTCAAAATAATTTATCTTTACTAATGTACACATACACATTCTGTGTAGTTATAATCAACTTGTCTTAAAAATACCATTTTATATTTCGTTTTCCCTCTTTAATGATATTTCATACAGTGTTATTTTATATCCATCAAGATGGGCCACAGAGCTGTATTTTCAAATGGGTTTTTAGTATTGAATTTCTTTTTTTTCCCTTTTTTACTGTTTGATCCCCTTCACCCATCCCTGCCTCCCATTGCCCCCCTCCTCCCCAGTCCCCATACCTCCGGCAACCACCAGTGTCTGTATTTGTGAGCTTGGTTTTGTTATTGCTGTTTTAGATTTCACATATAAGAGAGCTCGGTACAGTACTTGTCTTTCTCTGAGTTATTTCATTTAGCGTAATGCCCTTGAGGTCCATTCATGTTGTTGCAAATGGCAAAATTTCATTCTTTTTTTTTTTTAATGGCTGAATAATACTGTGTAATATACACCACCCTTTTTTAATCCATTCATCCTCCAGTGGACACTTAGGTTGTTTCCTTATCTTGGCTATTGTAAATAATGCTGCAGTGGAACATGGAAGTGCATATATCTCTTGGAGATCCTGATTTAAATTCTCTTGTATACATACCCAGAAGGAGAATTGCTGGATCATATGGTAGTTCTATTTTTAATTTTTTGAGGAACCTCCATATTGTTTTTTCAATAGTGGCTCCCCCAGTTTACATTCCCACCAGTAGTGCACAAGTGTTCCTTTTTCTCCACATTCTCACAAACACTTGTTACTTCTTGTCTTTTTGATGATAATCATTCTAACAGGTGTGAGGGTGATATCTCATTGTGGTTTTTTATTTGCATTTTCCTGATGATTAGTATTGTTGAGCGTCTTTTCATGTACCTGTTGGCTATCTGGACATTTTCTTTGGAAAAATGTCTATTCAGATATTCTGCCCAGTTTTTACATTGGATTGTGTAACTATCTTAGGCCAGTAATTTTTGGCTCCCAATATGTTGGAAAAGAGTGGGAGGGTAACAGAAGTTTTACTTTGAAAAGTGAATAAAGCAGATTAAAAAAAATGTCAGGCCTGCATAGATCTGGAGAATATGAGGAGAGAAATCTTATCAATTGAAGCTGACTTCAAAATGACGTAGATGATAGAATTAATGGTTTAAGGATTTTAAACTTAAAAATGTTAAGTTGAAGTATGAAAGATATAAAAAATTTCAACTTCTGAGAATGAAAAGTATAATTGATTTTAAAATGTTGAGGGAGTTTCCCATCTTTTGTTATTAATTTCTAGTTTAATTATATTATGGTTTGAGGTAATACTTTCTATACTGTTAGTTTTGTTTTAATGTAAGGCTTTGCTTTACATGAGTGTTCCTTATGTACTTAAAAAGAATGTGAATCCTGCTGTTGTTAGATTGAGTGTTTATACCATTGATTTCTATTTCTTTTGTCAGTTTTTGTTTCATGTAGTATGAAGCTCTGTTAGGTGCATATACATTTAGCAGTGCTGTGGCTTCTTGTTGAATTGGCCCTTTTCTCGTTATGTAATTCCCCTCATTATTTCTGGTAATTTTCTTTGCTCTTCAATACGTTTTTGCATTCAATGTATAATATAACCAGCCCTGTTCTTTGGTTGGTCTTTGCATGGTGTGTATTTTCTCATTCCTTTACTTTAGTCTGCCTATATCAATATAGTTGAAGTCTGTTTCTTGTAGACAGGATATTGTGTCATGGTTTAGGTTTTTTCTTTTTTTTTTTTTTTTTTTGGTCATTATGACAATTTTTGTGTTTGAGTTTTACTGGTTAGGCAATTCATATTTAATGTAAATTTGGTATGTTTGGATTTAGGTTTACTACTTTATTCTTTGTTTTCTCTTTGTTCCTTTTTTGTTCCTCTTTCCCTCCCTTTCTGCCCTCTTTTGGGTTATTTG